CTCTCTCTCTCTCTCTCTCTCTCTCTCTCTCTCTCTCTCTCTCTCTCTCTCCCCTCTCTCTACGTAGGCTACTTCTCTTTCTTTTACTTTAATTTCTGCTCTCCATCTTACTCCCCCAGGTCCACCCCACCATCTTCACCCCTCTTTTTTAGCACATATTAAATTATGTGCCATCCCATGCGGTAGCCCACTGCCTAACCCTACTATTAATATCCTTTGTAAAGAAATGATCGCAGTTCGCTCGGGATGACCATGGTTGGCGGTCATTTTGTATGTTTCACTCATAAATTTACACACTAGGCACGTCCTGATACATTATAGTCCCTGGGCACGTTGAAAAATGGAAAGGTCTTTATGTTGCGCCGCGAATTTTTGACCGCACATAGGCCTAATGCAAGTCGACTGTGTTGCAAAAGTTGGAAAGAGGGCCTGGCTCCCTTCAAAGCGGGCCCTAATTCCTCCCACATGCTGGAATTGCATGATATGAGCTTCTGGTCCCCATTTCTAGGATATTTACATAATTAATATTATTTATACCGAAATACAAATTGTAATGTAGGGCCTACATTATATTAATGTAGGCTAAGCCCCATTTGACTAGTCTATGAACTATGAATACTAAATATATGAATGATTTATTGAGGAGGAAGAGTTGACAACGTGTATTCAGTGTCACAAGTAGCGCATTTAATCTCAGTTAATGTTGTAAGAATTACTATACCATAAAGTTAAAAATTAAATGTTATTATCTATTATCTATTTGTGGTGGCCGAATTTTGCTATTCAAAAGGCTTTCTAATGGCTACATCGATCGACATGCGGTTTTCGCCAAAAGCTTCTTTAAAATATTCTCCAGAGCATGGCGCCCTTCGTTTTTTTAGTTTTGAGACAGTTTTGCAGCAAAAAGCTAAATTTCTATATTTCGCTGATCGCTTTTCTGTCTCTGTAATTTTATAAAATAGATCTACGGTGCGGAAGTGATATCAGAGAGTATTTAATTATATTTTAGTGTCTCTGGTGATATTATGCGAGGCGCATTTTGTTTTGAGAGTATAGATCTAGATCTTCTAATTTTTAGCATCTCTCAAGTTGTATTGCTCCATTCCAGCAGAGTGTAAAGATAATAGTATTAATAGGCCAATGACTTTCACTTTCAGTTGATGTTAATGCACCGATCATTCCTTTCATCGAAAGGGGGCCCAGCTAGTATTATTATAGGCCTATTAAGCCTACAAAACTGTAGGGCTGGGCAATGAGTCGCTTTAGCGAAATCCGGATCATATGTTAGTGCATCTCTTCGGTAAATAATATGCTATGAACCAATTCGGCAAAGGGTTAGAACCGCTTTGAGAAACGGGTCAACATCATTTGAACAAACAGGTGCACCCATTTCGGCAAACGGGCCAGGAAAAAGAGTTAAGAGTCTGAATTCGGATAACGTCTTTTTGAGGATTATCCGATTATTATCCGGATTTTGCCCACCTCTACAAAACTGCGGCACTGGCAGCAGGCCAGATTTCGTTCGTTTGTCGTTTGACTCCCCTGGCCCCCGCCTCTTTGAATTCTGATTGTAGGCCAGGCCAAAGACAGACATTAATCGTAAAATTCATTCTTTTGTTAGCCCCGCGTTCGGAAATTCAATGGTTTCCTTCTGGTTCATTGGTTCTCATCGACCCATCTACAATCCAAGTGCCATCCTTCAGCTTTGAGCATTGGTCATCAACTGCCGATGAATGTAAAATGCACGATCTCCACCAAAAAAATACCCCCCCCCGCCTTACACACAAGCACACTCTCTCTAGCCTCCTAGGCCAACGCACTTGCCACTTGTAAAATTATTGAAACGGTCTTTTTTTTTTGTCAACCTGGCAATACTCGCGAAGGGATAAAGAACAACGTCTTTATCTGCAGCCTAGCCAATCACATTGTCCGAGAGAGGGCGCGCAGGCGGAGCGTCCTTGATTTGCCGCTTTGGCAGCACTTTGGCTTCCTGCAGTACTTTGAATAGATCTAGGCCTAGGCCTAATGCTGAATTTTGCCCGCTATCCGCTTGCCTCCTCATGAACACGAGCAAAAAGTGTTCTATGAACGATGTTGCTTCTTGCTCTAGGCTCTTGCTGACAGTTACATGCTGCTTAATTGTCAATTGATAAGTAAAAAAAAAAATCATTCGCCCGGGTCTTTGGGACTGATCACTCTCATCCTCTCCTTGTATAATCCTCACATTAAAGACAGACAGCTAACTTGATAGTTCAATCTTCATCGATGTTTCCTAACTTAGCCTAAACCAAATTTTAATAATTTCACATTATAATGTTTATTCCGGGGTACATCAAACTAATTTCCATTCTTACAGAACTGAAGTCATTGGTTTTGTCCAAAAAAAATTACAATTAAGAAAGCAACATGTAAAACCCATTAAAGCGAAAATTTTAAGGCTCTTGGTTTAAGCAAACTTATAAGATTCAGCAAGACATGAAGTTGCACATGCATTCTGTTGTGTGGGCTTTGCTCCCTTCAACGTTAAATGTATGTTAAATAATAAATTTCATTGAGTTCATGATATTAGAAAAAAATTCTTAGATTCTATAGGGCCGACCTAAGTAAAATCTCAGCTTAAATTCTGCTCTGTTCTATCGCTGTGCATTTTCTTTTATTTGGTTCACCCTTTAAAAGGAGCATAAAAAACAATGTGTTTCACATTATTGATTGATATCTAAAAATACAATATATTGTATTTGAAGAAAGGTTTGAAAGTTGGTTTATCAATTGTTTCCCTGAGCCTGTCGACGCACAATTATGATGCAGTTCTTTTCTTACTTTTGCCTCATTGCAAGTTTTTTTCTGATGCATTTTTTGGTCATAGTCATAATTCCCCCTAGTAAGTCTTATTGGTTCTCCCTTTGCTCTGTTATTTTTCGTCAATAAGAAACATACCCCCCCCCCCCCACTATTATTTATGCTGTAGGAACAGTCTATATGCTAGTTTTCCAAATCTTCTTGTTGACGTTTACGTCAAGATCAACTTAAATCATGTATAGACCCTATATATTGTGATCTTGCACTGTTTAGTGTTTTTTCAGCTTTGCCTTTATCATATCTTCCCACGCTTCAGCTGTAGAGGCGAACATTCTGTGATTTATATAAATTATATATGTGGTTTATTTAAATACCGCATTGTTTCGAGTAATTTACATGTCTTAAAGTTATAATAAGAGTTCATTGATAACATCATAAGACGTCTAATTATCACGGGCCTACCTTTGGGCACAGAGCTAAGACATATAGAGGCAAGGAGGTGTTTAAGTTTAATAGAAATGTGATGAATAATGTATATGTTATTGGGGTAACAGAGCTAAAGTGTGTGTGTGCGTGTGTGCGTGTGTGTGTGTGTGAGAGAGAGAGAGAGAGAAAGAAAGAGAGAGAGAGAGAGACAGACAGACAGACAGACAGACAGACAGAGAAACACAGGGACACACATTCAGAGAGAGAGAGAGAGAGAGAGAGAGAGAGAGAGAGAGAGAGAGAGAGAGAGAGAGGGAGATGGAGAGAGAGAGAGAGAGAGAGAGAGAGAGAGAGAGAGAGAGAGAGAGAGAGAGAGAGAGAGAGAGAGAGAGAGAGAGTGGCGGTGGGTAGTGGAGGGCTCACGGGCTTGAGCCCCCCTCCCCACCCCCCAAGTCTATCCCAAGGCAAATGAAAAAAAACGAAAAAAAAACAGTTGAAACTGTCTGATTGCCCGCAATGAACACAGAGTGATCAACAAGGCGGCTTGCTCGTTTATCCAATCACTGTTGTCCCCGCTTACAACTATAGTAACCTAACAGCCAATCAAATGTCTTTAGGGCTCAGCAATCAACCAGCCCGTTCCCACTGTCTCTCCATAATGAAACCCCTTTTGTAAAAAGGTAGAAGACTTGAAAAAAAAAATAACACAGAGGGCTCACACTCTCCTAGCCCTGACAATGGGGTGAAAGTTTACAACACACTTTCCCCCAGTGACACAGTAACCTATGCGCCCATTGGGCCTTTGTTAGGCGCGTTCTATTTTCTGCAACAACACGACCTAATCCACCTCATACAAGGTGTGTGTTTGGAGTGCTGTGTGTTTGTGTCGCTGAGATTTAACAATAATCAAATAAAAAAATAATTAGAGAAATTTGGAGGTGGAACGGGAGAGAGCGTAGATATATATATATATATATATATATATATATATATATATATATATATATATATATATAATGTAATATATGAGGTTATTATGGAGGCTGTGTCAGACATTTTAGGGAATTTGAGAGTTCTGGCGGTTTTTAAAAAAATGAACCCGAGGTGGCTTCCTGAAACAATCTGGCAACACCGTGCCACAGCATTTCCCAAGATGCTCCTTAAGTTACCGCCATTTTGGAAAGCGTGTTTCCTTTCTTAGTCGAACGGTGGAGGAAGGCGGTTCGCTCTTGAAGAAGACTATAATTTCAAGCATTTTAGACTTATTTGCTTTTTGTCTACCCAAACAGCTGTGTAGAAATGGAAGCTGGGTAAGTAATTCATTTTACACTGTTATTCTATACTTATTTGAATTTGGACGTCACAATTTATAAATTTGTTCAACAGAGTAGACCCAGTTTAGGGCGGCTCAGGGAGTCCTGTAGTACGCATGCCATTAATGGTCATCGTGCCCAGCAGTTTTGGCTTCTTGGGGTCTCGTCAAGATGTTCCATATCTCTGCGAGATATGAAAGCTTACAGATCTTGAATCTAGATATATCTAGGTCTTATTTGAAGTTTTAAATGTCCTAAACTTTAGCCTAATCTAGACTAGTGTGACATAGTGGTCGCTCGTTACGGAAGTCCTCCTGCAATGCCAATCGGGCTTTCCCGTGCGGCGAAAATTTGGGGGTCCCCGTTTGCGGGCGATTTTGTGGACCTGGCCGAAGCGTAGGTGACTAACTTTGTCAACCTCGGTCTTCTCTATTTCCTAACCAATTCTATACTTATTTGAATTTGGACGTCACAATTTATAAATTATGTTCAACAGAATGCCCCGAATGAAACTCGGCAACCAATAAAAAAATAGGGCAAACTGATATGTGGACGTTGAAGTTCGTACACATAAATTACGAAGTGACTAGAGTCCGAATATGAAAAAATGTTATTCGGACTCTGATTCTTGTCCGGAAGTGGCTATTCTCACCCGGGGTGAGAATAGAAATACGATCGACCTCTCACCCCGGGTGAGACTTGCCACCGTAGGTAGGCTATTCTCACCCG